TCTGAATGTAAATGGTCGCAGTCCTCGATCCTAGCGGTAGCCTAATCCTCTACACCGGAACCGTGCTCATCGGTTCATTATGCTATTTAATTTTTATGTTACATATAAGCCCAGCATTCCAGAATTTAGTTAATATCATAGGCAAATTGCACAAAGTTTGGCCCCAAAAAGTTGTAATCTTAAAACTAAAACCACTTACAAAAAACGTAAAAAAAATTATCTTTAAACTTAAGTAAACAAAAGGAATATATATTCCACAGTTTCGACTAGTTTCCACGGTTTCCAGGGCTAATGCACTCCACAATCTCACCTCCACAAATGATTTCATTTTTATAAGATTTTCTGCTGTATTTTAGTTTTCTGAAATAGAAATATATATATATATATATATATATTTATATATTTAAAATATATATTTGTCAAATAAGTCTTCCAAAGTATTCTTCAATATATATATATTAAATATATATATATTTATTTAATTTTTAAACATATATATACTTATATTTAATTTATATAAAATAAGTCTTCCAACAATTGGCGATCGCCAAAGTATTCCTATATAAGTATTTATTTATAAGTATTCCTCCACAAAGCCAAACTCACCCATAAAATCTAGCCTTTAAACATTTAAACATTAAAACATATTTAATCGAGCGGCCACAGAAGCCAATGCTCATAATTTTAAGTTAGCCTTTAGTTTATAACCAACCGCTAGCTTTATTTAAATAAATAAATACATTTATAAGTATTTTTATTATTTTTTAAAATTTATTGTTAAGTATATATATATATACATATAAATATATATAAAATATTTAAAACATCCTCCTCCATCCTCCTTCCGGACTACCATAAAATTTAAGACTATTATAAAATGGCCATATCTCAAATTTCATGAAAATCTGTTGCAAACTGAAACAGTTCTTATTTATTATTTTATAATTTAATTTATTTTTAATTGTATTAATTTCAACACAAAATTGTAGAATAATATGAAATTAAATTTGATGAAAATCTGTTGAAAACTAAAAATATTATAATATTTAATTGTATTAATTTCTCGATCGTTCCTATTATAAGACTATTATAAAATGGCTACATCTCCAATTTGAAAAAGTTCTATTAATTAATTTATAATTAAATTTATTTTGAATTTTACTAATTTCTAAACACAAAATTTTAATAATTAAATGAAATGGCTTTAAATTTAATTCTATAAAAATATGTGTTTAAAACTAAAAATATTATTTATTATATATATATTTTAATTGTATTAATTCCTCGTGGCGCTCCAGGAACTGCAACACTCGACGGAGCTGGGCTGGAAGTTGGCCTGGTTGCTTGGCAAGGTTGCTTGGAAAGGTGATCGAGTAGGCGCCAGGCCAGCTCCAAATGCTCCGGCTTCTCATCCGCGCTGAAGGCCTTCCCGGCCAGCCACTATAGGCGGCCACGCTGGGCGTACTGGTTGCCTTCATCATCTCCATCAGCGGCAGGGCACGCTGCCAGTCGTCGTTGGTGGCCTCCAGTCCGTGGATCAGGTGCTCACAGCTAATGGTCCAGAGTCTCGTGATTCGCCTGCAGAGTGGCGCAAGTCTGCAGAATCTCCGCCTGCTCTGCCGCATTGTAGACCCGCAGCAGACGGCCTACTGCACATAGTCCTTGGCCAGGGCCAATTGGCGAGGTCCGCTGCACACGCCCAGGATCACGGCGTCCACGTTGTGAGCGTTGATGAGCTTGTGGCCACCCACTACGGACCGGCGCACCTCCAGCCACTCATCGTCGGCAAGCTCCTGGCGCCGCTCGAAGAGATCGCTGCAGATCGCTGATCGCAGGCCCTCGCCGTTCCGCAGACGCTGACCTTCCTGGAGAATGGCTGAACTGTAAAAGGTTGAAATTTAAATGTTAGTTTTTAATTCGCTTACATACTAAATACATACATCATACAGTTCCTTCTCCTTCGCTTGTTGACGCGATCATGTATCCTTCTGAAAGAAAACCCCACTTTGATTAATATATCATATAATAATAATATAATATAATATAATATAATATAATATAATATAATATAATATAATATAATATAATATAATATAATATAATATAATATAATAATATAATATAATATAATATAATATATAGCAGGCAGTAAAAGTACTTACCATCCTCGACGAGGGTCGGGAAAAGGCCGTCCAGCTCGCTGACATTCCGGACCACCAACGGATGCCGCAAGAACACCTCGATGCCGTGACGCTGTTCACGATCTAAGGTCAGCATAGCTGAGATGGTCTCCTGTAGATCGGAACCGTACACGGCAGGAATCCGACGGAACGTGCCCTGGGCGGACAGCAGAGCGAAGGTGGGCCCATGGAATGGTGGACGCAGGGCGCACATCTCGTACACCACGCATCCCAGGGCCCACACGTCGCTCTTCCGGTCGAAACTCCCGCCGCGGAGCAGCTCCGGACTCATGTAGTCCGAAGTGCCCACGTCCGAAGCGTCGAGGGTTAGCTCCCTCAGCATCTCGGCCAGGCCGAACTCGCCCAGCTTGGCGTTGCCGGCAGCGTCCAGGAAGATGTGCGCCGGCTGCACATCCCTGTGCAGGATGGCTCCCTCCTTCGCGTTGTGGCACCGTTCCAGGGCACTACACAGTTGGTAGAGCACCCGCCAGATATAGCGCTCTTCCAACCGGCGTCGCTGTGTCCGCGCCCGCTCAACGAGCTGGGCGAGATCGCCGCCGGCACAGCACTCCATAACAATGTGCAATACCTTATCCACCCGATTGTCAAATTGGTGGTGGTATTGCACAATGTTATGGTGCTGCAGTTCCCGGAGCATGCCAACCTCCGAGAACAGCGCGTCGCGTTCGATCTCGTCCAGCTTGTCGTAGCTGATGCTCTGCAGCACGAACAGCTCGCCGGTGCTCCTGTCCCGCACCTTCTTGAACGTCGCGAAGGAGCCGCTGCCCATCACCGCCAGGACGTCGTAGTTGTCGAGGGATTTTTCGTCGAAGCTCATTTTGGCTGTTGCACACGCGCACATCTTGATGTTTTTTTGGTTTCTTTTTGTCTTTCTTTAAACCTTCAGAATAAAGGAAAGGAAAGCAAACTTCGACACGCCGACGTTTGTATACCCTTTCAGATAGAACTTCGATGACTAGGAATCAATACAATATAAATTATATATATATATATTTAATTTAAAATCCAATCCAAATCCTGCTTTCATTTTATTCACCTATACATATTATATCTGCAGATTTACCTTCACAGATTTGCATTTTTCCTCCACATATAACGATCGTTTTTATGGCACCTATATAATATAGTCGACCGATTTTCATAAAATTGTACACAAAATTTAAGATTAATATAAAATGGCAATATCTCAAATTTGATAAAAATCTGTTGCAAACTGAAAAAGTTATTTTTTTTTTTATTTATTTTAATTTAATTTATTTTTAATTGTATTAATTTCTCTATCGTTCCTTTTGGGCTATATGATATATAAAATGGCTAAAAAAAATTCCTATTTATTAATTTATAATATTATTCATTTTTTATTGTATTAAATTCTACACAAAATTGTAGAATAATATGAAATGGCTTAAATTCAGTTTCATGAAAATCTGTTGAAAACTAAAAATGTTATCATTTTTAATTGTATTAATTTCTCGATCGTTCCTATGGGGGCTATAGACACAAAATTATAGAATATAAAATGGCTATATATTAAATTTGATCAAATTCTGTTGAAAACTAGAAATGTCATAATTTTTTTTGTAAACATTTTCCGATCATTCCTATGGCCGTCCGATCCGGCCCGTTCCGACATACATATATACGAGTAAGAGTGTATAGAAGATTAACTACAAAGTTTAATTCAGATAGCTTTAAAACTGAGAGACTAGTTTGCGTAGAAACGGACAGACGGACAGACGGACAGACGGACATAGCTAGATCGACTCGGCTGGTGATCCTGATCAAGAATAAATATACTCTATATGGTCGGAGGTGCCTCCTTCACTGCGTTACAAACTTCTGACTGAAATCATAATACCCTGCAAGGGTATAAAAATACAACTGTTTTTGGTAGAGTTGTCGAGAAATCAAAATATCAATATGGTGTTGATAAAATTGTTTTTTATTTGTGACAAGTGGCCACCTGCCGCCTGCGCGCTAAATCTGGGTAAAAGTCCAGGAATATAGCTTCTTGACAAGACTCTTCTTGGTTTGCGGGGTCAAAGAGCCTCCTCGTTCCGACGGCCGGATCTACAGCTTCTCAGGCAGCAGAATAGAGGAGGCACCACCGCCGCCATTGCACATGGCTGCTCCTCCGTCGTTCAATGTGGAGGCATTTTCGCTCTGGGAAACGGTGGCCAGCGGGCCAAACTTATCGAAGTTGTATTCCTCGTCCTCGGCAACTGCATCTTCACGGGCACGCCGCCGCAGAACGCTTGTAGAGCTGGAGCTTCTTGGCCGTGTAGACTTCGAATAGGCCACCAAAGACCGCCATAGGGTGTGGCACCGCATTGCCCATGATCACCTCCTGGACATCGGATTTTTCAATCCCCGCTCGCTGGACTAGGCCAGGCAGAATCCTTTAAAAAAACGAGTTATCTCGAGATTTTCGGGCTTATTGTTGCCCTTTTGCTGATGGTTCCTTCACAAATAAATCACGTCTCCGGTAGGTTCGCCCCCTAAACCGCAGAGTTTAAGGCAGGTAAACATAGATCCTCGCACATTTCTCCGGTTTATTGTTGTTCAACAGTGAAGAAATAAATAAAAACATGGGATTACACTAGACGGATGATTCCGAGATGTGCTGGTTTACCACGACGGCGCCTTGTCATCTCCGGAGCGGCCGTACAGAGCGCTCTTGTCCCGGAACATGGTCATCCGTTCCGTCTCCTTCTTGTCCAGAAAGTGTCCGATGGCGAAACCGAGCAGGGGCAAGGCTCCCCACAGAGCCCGCTTGTCCAGGCCGAGAACCATATTGGGACGTACTATTTCCTTAACTCTGACTCCTGAGCTGCGCGCTGCGTGCCAACTGAAGCTGCTGGCGTTTCCACTCGCGGGTATGCGACCAATCTGCGTAAATCGATCCGACTGCAACAGTGGGAAAGAATATCACTGCGCCGTACTTTCGAACCAATTGCACCGCAATCCCACTGCCCATGGGTCTGCAACACAAACACGGATATAATGATTATGAGACTTATGAAATAGGGAAATGGAGTGGAAGTATTGTTTTGCGTCCGCTTGTCTGAGTTACGTAATGAAACTGCTCGAGTTCCGGACCGCGTCGTGTTAATTCCGTGGCAATTAATGTCCCCGGGTAGCTCCCAACGGATGCGGTAGTACGGGTTAAAGAAGTCAGGTGATTTACCTAATAATTGTGGCTGCAATTGCAAAATTAGTTTTTGTTTTCGACGTACTTACTTGATGTCAGTGTTTTATCGGCCACGGGCTATCGATAACTGCTGGGCGGCGCTGCCAACTTGTTTAGCTGGGAGCAAATGTCGCTAGAATATATTTCTTTATAATTTATTTAAGTAGAAAATACAGAAAGGTTTGTAAAGGCTTCCAGCGGACAACGAATAAGAAACGTTAGTGCTTAATTTTAAACAATTGTTTAACCAGAGCTTTATTGCTACTTTGAGAATCAGCTTATCCAAAACAAACTACTACTCTACTCTTGTACCGAACAATACCAAAAACTATAAAACCCCTTATTCGACGGATTCATGTTTACGTTTATCTTCTAATTGGGAAATTCACGATGCCGGGCAGAAATTATCAAACCATTCTATCGGTGTATCGATTTATCGATATGACTTGCAGCTGTATTAGCCGCGTCCAAGCGCGGGACATTTTCTAGCTTAATCGCAACTCTGGATGAACTTGCCGTCCAGGAGATGATCGCCGTCGCAGAACCGCCGCTGGAGTTTGTGCCGCGCGGCCGTCAGTCGGCCGCCGAGCACCCTGGCCCGCAGGATCAGCCGCTTCCCAGGTACCAGCTACCCACCTCGGAGCATCTGTTGCTGCAGCGGCTGCAGAACGTGAATATCTCGGCTGCGGGCGAGGACTCCCCGGCTGGCCAGGAGTCCTGGTCGATCCGGGAGATGTACGACGACTATGAGGGGGCGGAAGATCGGGCGGCGCGGCGAAGGCAGCTGATAGAAAGGACAAAACGATGCGGACCCAAGGCGGCGGCGGCCACGCAGCTTACGTCGCTGCCGCAGAGCCTGCTGAACCCGGCGCCGGAGCGGCGCGAGGAGCCGATGTGCGACTATATGGTGAACAACGAGGAGGAGCTGTACGTGCACCGGAACACTGTGGTGTGGACAAAGGGCCTGGACGACGGCGACGATGGTGTTTACAAGCGCATGTGCTTTACGGCCGACACGCCGGTAAGGAATGCCTGTTTCCTGAACCGTAGCTTTGTCCGTGGACGCCTCGCTCAGCTGGAGGCGGCCATCCAAACGAAGGACGACACCCTCACCGCCATCTGTGTGATGGACCAGGACTCGCTGCGCGTCTACTGTGACGACGGCGAAGACTTCCTTGCCAACCTTGACTTTCCCGTCTCGCAGGTGTGGCAGACAATGCACGGCCTGCTGTTGCAAAAGGATTCCAGCCAAGCCCTCGTTTCGCACCTGTCCTTTCCCATGCCGCGGCTCTTCTCGATGTCGCATCCCCTACACGAGGCCTGCCCGGTGGTCCTGAAGACAGCCACCAACTCGATCGGCTACATGACGGAACCGGAGTACAGTGTGGTCTTCACCACGGATGATTCGGACCTGGTTCTGCTTTACGACGTGAAGTTCTCGAAGCATTTCGTGGCCCGGCTAAGAAAGGTGACCGTGGAGGAGGTTAATCATGTTGGCCACCAGACCCAGGATTTGGGACAGACGCTCCTGGGGACCAGGCCGCAGTCGGCGGGCAACAGTTTAAGTGGGATTAAACAAACGGGAGGTAAGTAAGGAGACGCTAATAGTTATTCCATATTCTTACATTTCCTTATGCTCTATTACAGCCATGCCCAAGACTCCGGTCGGATCGTTTATGGCCAGAAGCAACACCACCACTGGCTTGGCCAACATGTCGAAGTTCGGGCTCAGTCAGTCGCAGTCCTTCAGCGGAGTCCTCGGTCAATCCAAGTAAGTTTCTGAAATCGACAAGCGTATGGAATGTATTTTAAAGTAAAAACTCACCTCTCTCCTCCAGTCGCGCCTCCTTGGGAACTCCGTTGAGCCAGCTCCAAAGTAGCATTAGCCAGCAGTCCATGTCCATGAAGGAGATGCGCAAAATAACGAGCGTGAAGCCAGCGAAACCGATCGAGCCGGAGTTGTGTTTGGAGCACATCTGGACGGAGAACATCTACGGAGTGTAAGTAGTGCTACTCTGGACATCCTTGAACTGCATTCTATTTCATCTCTGCCCTTCAGACAACGTGAACTGTGCGAGATGGCCACCCGAGCCTTCATCCACACGGATTTGGTGGGCCAGACATTTCTGTGCTACCTGCTCGCCCGCTCCTGCCGCCTCCAGATGGTCCGCCTCACTGGCTATGGAAGCAGTGAAGTGCAGCTCTCCACACTGGCCACGACTCTGGCAGCCAAGGATGCTGTGGGTCTGAGTAGATTGCAAATGGTCGCAGTCCTCGATCCTAGCGGTAGTCTTATCCTCTACACCGGAACCGTGCTCATCTCCAAGGTGCACATAACGCCGCTGCTGGCACCCACGCCATCGCCTGTACCGCCTCCTGCCGCACCAAGTCAATCGAAGCCATCGGTTGCCGCAGGAACTTCCGGTGCTGCAGGCAACAGCTCCTTTGTGGAGGTGCGTCGTAGCAGTCTGCTGCCCACCAAGGCGCCAGTTGATCTGGCTGGCTTTGATGAGGAGCTGCACATGCTGTCGCCGATCCTGCCGCAAGCGGTGTCCTATGCCCAGAGGCAGGCGCACAATGTCTGCAAATCCCTGAGAGATCCGGCGGGCAATCGGTTAACCCTGGTTTACGCCACCGGTCGGATGCTGCGGATAGCCCTACCCCTGCTAAATGATACCCGCTTGTTGACGCGATGTGTGGCCACGCTGCGACAGGTCCTGAGTCCCAGCCAATTCCTGCATTTCGTGATCCGTTGGTACAGCGCCAGGAATCCGCCGGGGTCGCGGGACTACTCCATTGAGCAGGAGTGGTTGCTATTCCGGAGTACGATACTAGCCCTAATGGGCTTGACCGCTGCTCCCGATGTGGAAGCGACCGAGGGCTATGGCCGATGTGCGACGCCTCCGCTGAATGCGACCTTCGGTGGTGGAGTGGCTGGCGGTCTAGGATCCGGATCTGGCTCCAATTGCAGCTCCAATTCTACGCTGGGCGCCCAGGACGAGCCAAAGAAGCGGCGAAAATACAATGATTGTGAGGACTACACCGACGACGACTGGGAATTCCTGCTGCTCCAAACGACGTTAGCTCCCTGCGGCGCCGATGGCCACAGCTACAGCGTGGACATTGGTGCGCCGCTCTTCCAGATGATACCCGCCATATTCTATAGTCTGCACCTGCTCTACGAGGACCTCAAGCTGGACGCCGTGTTCCATGCGGCGCTTTCCTACCTGGCAACGGTGAGTGCGTAGTCCATGGGTTAGAATCTTTGTAACATTGTGATTTTCACTCCATTCCAGTTCCTCCACCAACTGGCCATTGATATGCAGCTGGACAGCTACGTGCTGCACTACATCCTTGACTTTCCGGAACTGAGCCATCGGACGGGGAAGCTGTCGCTGCTGGGAGCCGCGCATGGAGCCATGATGCTTCACCAGGAGCTGCTCCGAGTGCCAGCGCCCAGTATATTCTCTCAACTGGAGCACATAGTGATCGGTGAGGAGGAGGTACTGCCCTACACCTTTGTGAGCAATGTGAACGAGCGGAGCCGAAATCTGTTGCAGCTTGTCTCATTGGTGATCCACGGGCAGGAGCGCCTCAAGCACTGGTGGCAACTGCTCGAGCTTCCCGAAGCCGTGCAAGCCAACTTTCCCCGGAGAGTCAAGCGCAGCATTACAGCGGATGCACCGCGTTGCCATCAGCTGCTGGAGCTAATTCTAGCCATGCGACTGACCCGGAGGGACATCGAGCGATTTCCGGCAGCCGTGCATCTCATTATTGCTGAGGCGTTGGAGGAGGCGCGTCTGGCGCCGCCCCTTGGCTGTAGCACGGCCACCTACGACCTGATCCTGCGCCCGGAGCTGGCCGAACACACCCAACTGCCATTCATGGAGGCAACCATTGGGCAGCCGCATTGTGGCAAAGTGTACAAGGAGGACTCCCTGTCGACCAGGTCCCCGCCAACCGCCGGCGCTGTGCTCGAACATGAATGCTCGGAGCAAATGCGATACGACGATATGGACAATATGGATACGAAGCTGCTGCGACTGCGCTTTCCGGACGATATGCGCGTGGAGGAGGTGCGCCGCCTGCTGAACAGCTCGGAACCGGTGCTCATCGAGGTGCAGCAGTTGCCTGGGACCAGCGATCACGAATTTATTGAGGAGCAGGAGAAGCAGCTGTTCGCTCTGTGCGCCCGGACGATGACACTGCCCCTGGGCCGGGGCATGTTCACCCTGCGAACCATGATGCCACGGCCCAGCGATAGCCTGTCCATGCCCAGGTTATGCTTGGTGGGCCGGGAGCCAATCAAGGGCACCACCATCGAGATGCAGCAGATTGAGTTTCCCGCCAACATGCACATGTGGCCGTCGTTCCACAACGGCGTGGCCACCGGCCTGAAGATTTCGCCGCAGACCCAGGACATTGACTCCACGTGGATTGTGTACAACAAGCCCAAGGCCCAGGCGAACAATGCCCTTGAGCATGCCGGCTTCCTGATGGCCCTGGGCCTCAATGGTCACCTGAAGAGCCTCTCCTTCATGAGCCTGTACAAATACCTGGTGAAATGCGACGAGATGACCAATGTGGGCCTGCTGCTGGGCATCTCGGCCGCCCATCGCGGCACCATGGATACGAAAACCACGAAACTGCTGAGCGTTCACTTGGAGGCACTGCTCCCGGCCACCGCCATGGAACTGGATATACCGCAGAGCACTCAGGTAGCCGCCTTAATGGGCCTCGGTCTCCTCTACCAGGGATCGGCCAAGCGTCACATAGCCGAGGTGCTGCTGCAGGAAATCGGACGACCGCCGGGCCCGGAGATGGAGAACAGTGTGGAGCGTGAATCGTACGCCATGACGGCCGGCCTAGCCCTCGGCCTGGTCACCTTGGGGCAAGGCGAGTCACCGGCCGGCCTGAGAGACCTCCAGCTGCCGGACACGTTACACTACTACATGGTTGGCGGCGTAAAGCGACCCATCAGCGGTTCCCAGAAGGAGAAGTATCGTCTGGCGTCGTTCCAGGTCCGCGAGGGCGACAACGTCAATATTGATGTGACCGCGCCGGGAGCAACGCTTGCACTGGGCCTCATGTTCTTCAACTCGGGGAATACGGCAATTGCAGAGTGGATGCAGCCACCGGATTCCAGATATTTGCTAGACATGGTGCGGCCGGACTTCCTACTGCTGCGCACCATAGCCAGGGGCCTCATCCTATGGCAGGATGTCCGGCCGGATAACGAGTGGTTTCAAGCGCAATTCCCGCAAGCTCTCCGCATCCATCTGCGGCTCTCGTCGGTGGATGAGGACACGGGCTCCGATGACGGTGATGTGGACTATGAGGCCATCACGTAAGCATCTCAGAACAATCAGACAGCTGCCAATGTTTTGAAAATCCTTATTTTTCCTTTTCAGGCAGGCCTACTGCAACATTATGGCCGGAGCAGCATTCTGCATTGGCTTGAAATACGCCGGAACGGAGGATGCGGTGGCCTTTGCCACACTACGAGCAGTGATCAAGGAGTTCTTGCGGTTCCCCAGCTCTCCGATGATCGATTGTGCAGGCCGCACCACCGTGGAGAGCTGCCTGATGGTTCTGCTCATTAGCATTTCCCTGGTGTTCGCCGGCTCCGGCAACTGTGAGATATTGCGCATCATCCGGTATCTGAGATCGCGTGTCGGTCCGCAGTATCCACACATCACCTATGGCTCCCACATGGCCATTCACATGTCACTTGGACTGCTCTTCCTTGGTGCAGGGCGGTTTACCATAGCCAAGACGCCGGAATCAATATCGGCGCTGGTGTGCGCATTCTTTCCAAAGTTCCCCATTCACAGCAACGATAATCGGTGAGGATTCGCAGGTTCCGTTAGGGACATGGAGATGAGACCGTCTACTTATTGCATATTTCCTGACCGAAAGGTATCACCTGCAGGCCTTGAGGCATCTTTACGTCCTGGCAGTGGAGCCGCGGCTGTTTCTGCCCCGCGACATTGACACACACCAGCTGTGCCTGGCCAACATTTCGGTGCTGGAAATCGGTGCCACAGAGATGCGGCGCCTGCCCATCGCTCCGTGCATCCTGCCCGAGCTAAGCAGCCTCCAGCTGGTGGTGGTGGACGACGAGAACTACTGGCCCGTGCGTTTCGAACGATCGTGGAACTGGCATCAGTTGGAAAAGGCCCTGGAGATGAGTGCACCGATCGATATTAAGAAGCGAACCGGCTGCCTTTCCCACCTCGAGGATCCGGATAGACTGAAAAGCATGCTGGCCCAGACCCTGACGATGGAGCAGAGCATCTGCTGGCAGATCGACATCAACGATCTGCACCAGTTTGGTAACGAGCGGCTAGTGAAGCCGTTCCTCAACCGCTGCTTGTCGACGAAGGGAACGGATTTAAGCTACCCGGAGCAGGTGAAGCGCCACCAAATGATGCTGCTCTTCTACAATGCGGTGGTCAAGGATCGAATACACCTATTGCCCGTATACCTGACCCTATACGACGTGAGTATAGAGATTCTGTAAGAGATTCAAAAATTATTAATATAAATATATATATATTTTTGTAGCACGTTACCAAGTCCATGATAAACAACATCGATGTGTGGCAGATGAAGCTGATAGATGCCTACTTGGGCCGAAGAGACTTGGCGGAGGAGCACCCCCTCATCTCCGTGGAGCTCATCCAGATGATGCAGGAGCTGTTCAAGCAGGAAATGGAAGACTCCACATCGGAGCTGTGCCTGCCGCTGCGAGAGTTCCTCAGCCAGAAGCGATTGGAACCCAGCTATGTGACCACAGTCAGTGGACCGGACCTCCAACGCGCCTTCTGCGTGATTAACTATTACAACCTGATGCCCAATATGCTGAGTGGTGTGGACCTGAGCACAGGGACTGTCAACTACATGCGGATACTGTACGAGTGCCGGCAACTGAATCTCGAAGCGCATACGATTTTCGGTCTGCTGAAGATACTCCAGGCACTCGATGCCACTACCGAAGTGGTGGTGACACTGGACGAAGCGTCGCTGCTGGCCTACTCCATGGCCACCCAATGAGCCAGATTAATTTGTTAGTTAAGCTAGAAATTGGTATATCTTGAATGCTCCCATGCGCCGCGATTGATTAAGTTTTCATTTTGAAAGTATGTTCACTCTCTAGGAGATCTTCTATCTCGTATTAAATTAATAGTGTCATAATGAAGTCGAAAGTAATTCTTATCCACAAGTATAATCAATTTTTTAGTACCAAATATGGTTTGGTTTTAGTGTAGCCAAGGGCATAATAACCAAATGCATAAAGTACATTACGCGAATTGCCTCATTATTATAAGGTCAAAGATTGAATGTTGAAGTATCTCCAAATCGAGAAGTTTATTATAAAATTTATATGGAATATATAATACGCTTGAGACTAATGCATTCGTCTGTCAACCTCAGCCCTATATTAAATTGTATATACATAAGTTATAAACACACACAAATACATATATGTACAACCAAAATATGATATATATGTATATATATAGATATATATATATACGTATATACATATATAACAATAATGTCTTAAGCTAAAAAGACATACGTAGAAAATTCAGCAACATTAAGCTTACACAATCCGCTCTGACTCGCCAGCGGTGGCCTCGGTCAGTGTTCTTCCGCAGCATCGATTGTACACATAGATTCCCAGCAGGGGCAGCGGGGTCATCACCGCCACAGACACCGGCACGACTGTGGTAATGTCTCCCACCGGCGATCCCAGCGCTCCCAAAAGCAGAAAGATGGCAATGCCCGTATTCTGGATGCCCACCTCGATGGCAATGGTCAGTGAGTCGACGGCGCTCTGGTGCAGCAGCTTGGACGCCAGCCAGGCAAAGATGTAGCCCAGCGATGGCAGGGCCAGACCAGCCACGGCAATCTGCCAGGAGAACAGGTAGAACAGATAGTAGTTGGTGATGATGGCGAACACGATGATGATCATCAGCAGGGTGGCGGAGATCGGTTTCAGTAGGCGGACCAACACCCGTGTGAGTCTCGCCGATCTCTTCTGGATAAACAGGCCGATGAGGAGAGGTAGGATCAGGCCGGCGCAGTAAGTGGCAATGTTTCTGTACGGCACCTCCATACCCGCTCGCTCGAAGATCAGCTGGCCAAGCGTGAATGTCCACAGCGGTATAGTGGCAAACGCGGCCACATTGCCAACGGTGGTCATTAGCACCGAGAGGTGTATATTGCCACCCAGCACAGCGGTCCAGGTGTTTGAGGCTCCACCACTGGGCGAGATGCCGGTGAAGAAAAGGCCCAGCTGCATGGCCGGCGACTGAGGGAAGATGAAGACGCCGAGGGCGTAGCTAAGCAGGGGCATGCCCACCAACTGCATAACCAGTCCGATGCAGGGACCGGTGGGCCGGGTGATCAGACCGCGCAGCACCTCCAGATTGAGGGCGGCACCAAAATTGATGTACAGCAGTGACATTAGCACAATGATCGAACCAAGGAAGATGTGGTCCAGCACACGGTTCGGCCGCTGCACAGTCACCTCCAGCTGACTGTCGTTACTCCAGTTGGTGGGCAGTTCGCTGCTATTCAGTTTTAGATCGTGCAACCGCACTGTCACATTGGTCAGACCCAGAAAGTGGGCCTCCACGACGATGGGGCCGCTCCAGTCCCGGGTCTGCGGATGGAACAGGCTCAGCGGTATGGTGGCGTTCTCCTCGGGCACACTGGCCAGTCCCGCGTTGAGGCTATGCATGCGGAACACAAAGCGCTCCGGCTGCTGCAGCGTCGACGGGGCCACATTCTCCAAGATGAGCTGCACCTGCGAACTGTTGGCCATCCTTAGCCTCAGCGCCGACGGGCGAAAGTGGGCCATCCATCCGAGGGCGGTTGGCGCGAGGCTTGCGGCCAACGCAAGGAGGAGGAGACCACCGTATCCGTATCCCATTGTGGGTGATGTAATTTTGAGTCGGGAATGCTGGGATTTTGCACCCCTTTCACACTTAACGAGTTGTGTGAGTAAAATGAAGTGAACAACAACGCAAATCACATAACCAAAACAACTCTCAAAAGTGTTTGCTTTTTTTTTACCGCTGCAATTGCAAGTGCAAGCGGGATGGCTGTACTTGAGCACTCACTGCACTTGGCGCCGAGCTTGAAGCAAGAGTGAGACAGGCCTAGCTGGCGAACAGGTCGCGATCAACGGCATCTGAACTGCCATCTCTAATCTCGAATACCCTACACTCTCGAGCGGGGATGCCGATAAGGTAAGCGCGCAGATGTGCGTGGAAATAAAATCGTTAAGTCATTCCATCTCACGCGACACATAATTAAGATTATGAAGTTATCATCTGCCGGGTCATGGAGCAATTACGTTTGTTTTTCTTCTTTTCATAAAATGATTTAATTATTAATCTGTCCCAAAAGTGTCTTTAAAGTCGATATACCTCATATAAAAGGGTGTTGAGAAATTTATGTACTCGAGCATGTGTTGTGGTTTTTTCTCTCGATAAGAGTACGTGAGGTGTTTTTTTTATTGGAGCTTAGGGGAACAGTGAAATGTGCCAACAATAGATATAACTAGTAGGTAACCAAAGCCGGCTCCGCAGCCACTGGGTGCGGGTGCGGAGATCGGTGTGGGCACTCAGTACCGGTAGTGATCGGGCTTGAAGGGGCCGGCCTGCGAGACTCCCAGATAGCTGGCCTGCTTGTCCGTCAGCTTGGTGAGCTTCACGCCCAGCTTCTCCAGATGTAGGCTGGCCACCTCCTCGTCGAGGATCTTGGGCAGAACGTGGACACCGACGGCGTACTTGTCGGACTTGGTGAACAGTTCGATCTGGGCAAGCACTTGGTTGGTGAAGGAGTTGGACATGACGAAGCTGGGGTGTCCGTGGGCGCAGCCCAGGTTAACCAGACGACCCTCGGCCAGAAGGATGATGTGCTTGCCGCTTTCCATGGTATAGCGATCCACTTGCGGCTTCACGTTCACCTTCTGCTTGGCGTTCGCATTCAGCCAGTCAACGTCGATCTCGATGTCAAAGTGTCCGATGTTGCAGACAATGGAGTCGTCAGGCATCTGGACGAGGTGCTCGCCGGTGATGATGTCACGGCAGCCGGTTGTGGTCACAAAGATCGAGGCCTCCTTGCAAGCCTCCTCCATGGTGGTCACCTCATAGCCCTCCATTGCCGCCTGCAGAGCATTGATCGGATCGATTTCGGTAACGATGACACGTCCACCGAATCCCTTCAGAGCCTGGGCACAGCCCTTGCCCACATCACCGTAACCGGCAACGCAGCACACCTTGCCTGCTATCATCACATCCGTGGCACGCTTGATGCCATCGATCAGGGACTCACGGCAGCCGTACAGGTTGTCGAACTTGCTCTTGGTCACCGAATCGTTGACGTTGATGGCCGGAATGCCCAGGCGGCCCTCCTTGAACATCTTGTACAGGTTGTGCACGCCAGTGGTCGTCTCCTCGCTCAGTCCCTTAATTCCCTTCAGATACTGGGGGAATTTCTCGTGGACCAGGTTGGTCAGATCGCCGCCATCGTCCAGGATCATATTCAGGGGCTGTCCATCGGGGAAGACCAGAGTCTGTTCAATGCACCAATTGTACTCCTCATCAGTCTCGCCCTTCCAGGCGTACACAGGCACTCCGGCGGCTGCAATGGCTGCGGCAGCATTATCCTGGGTGCTGAAGATGTTGCAGCTGGACCATTGGACCTGAAGGATACAATAGGGAATTAGTTATATTTAAATTATTAACAGAACTCTATTTAAGCAAGAACAGGACAAGATCTTGTTTAGGATAAGGATGCTCAATTGGTTACCAATGTAAGCCAGGCTTCTTCATTAACTAATTGGAAATTCTTGGTTACATTGTACAACTAGTTGGTAATTTTTAGTTAATTGTTCGGACTAGTTGGGAAGTTAATTAGTAGTGCTAGTTGGAACCTCTCCTTAGATAGTTGCCATGTGCGGGGATCAAAAAATAAGAAAACGCGCTGCGTCAGAGGAAATAACAATCTGGGGGTCTTATCTCGGGCTCCTTGAACTTGCCCCCCTCAGTCAAAACGAAAGTTTTGTTATTCAAATTGGCGCGTAAACAATAGATGATAAGGGCACAGCCCTTGGACACTATCTATCTATTTATAGTACTATTAGACAATTCTAGGATTCCTAAACTGTTTTCTCATTTTCAAAGTGAAGTTCTGTAATTATCCTTTGAATCTTGAAATAGAGATTTCCCCTATTAAACGGAAACCCACCTTGGCGCCCAGTTCAACGAGGGTTTCGATGAGGACGGCCGTCTGGACGGTCATGTGCAGGCAGCCGGCGATGCGGGCTCCATGCAGGATCTTGGTGGGACCGTACTTGCGCCGAACTGCCATCAGACCGGGCATCTCGTTCTCCGCGATGATGATGGCCTTGCGTCCCCATGGCGACAGGTTGATATCGGCTGTCGGCGGGAAGAGAAGGGAAAAGGAGGAGTTAGATAGGGTCAGATAAGCTCCCTGTGCTTGATTTACGCCTCTTTCAGCCTGGCCCAGCAACAACGTGCTCGTCTCGCCGCCGCACGTTTAACCTCAGAAACATGTGCGCGCCGCGCAGATGTGAGCTTGCTGCCTGTTGCCGGCCGACGACGATGTTCCACACTTATTTATAACTCACCAACTTTGTAGTTAGGCTTCGACATTCTCGCAAGGATTCAGGTCTTAGACGAGCAGCAGGCAGAACACAACCGAATAAAAGACGCGGGCAACGGTGAATGAAAAAAACACAAAACAGTGAGGCTCTTAAGACACCGGGCGGCGATAACGATACAATCGATAGTTTTGGGCCATCGGTACGACGATATTGCATAATCGTAAATCGCATAACAGAGATCTTACCTCGGAGTCGGCTCCATACAAAATAGGACAAAATCCAAAATTGTAAGGCTTGTAATTTCGATTTACGAATGCGTGCACGGTATATAGGCTAACTAGGGGAAGATTAACGAAAATCGAATAACAGTGGGTTGTGTATTTGGCCTGTTAGCTAAGGCGCGAATTATGAAAATGGAACCAGATGGGAACCAGCAGAGAATCACTCGCTAAACCAGACCATGGAACCATGATAAGAAAAATACTAAATTAAATAAAAATAATAAATTGTTGAATAAAACATTAAGAAAAGTGACTGCCCAATAAATGGAAAAGCCATTCAAAACAATTTGGTGGGATTTTCATCTAAGTCAGGGAAATTACCTATTTCGTTCTTTTTAGATTATTTTAGTATATACCGCAGCGGAATGTTATGCCCCTCCCCGACAAGCAAAATCGACGCTAACTTTTACTAAAATCTTACACCCTTAAATGAATGGATGCAAGCTTTCAAGGTATCTCAAACGATAGAGAAAAATATTCTATAATTTCGAATTAAATCTCTATTAAATCTAACCCACAGATTTTAGAAATTAGCGTTTTCTTTTTTCGATCTCATTCTTAAGCACTGGCTTCATATCGATAGGGGCGCCTCCCACACCCTATCGATAAATTACCCGCCAGAAATTAATCCTATTGACCATTTAAACAATTGTATAAAATATGCATGCCCCATGAATGGAATTGACATTCCAAGCATTTTGGTAGATGTTTCATCAAAATCCGTTCAGCCGTTTAAGAGAAAACATCACTTTTTTTTATTTATTTCCATTTATTATTTGATAGGAATTATTATTAAATAATTATAATATTTTTATTGCAACCGACTAAAACAGCTAAAGTTTAACCTATTAAAATGAATGGTATGTTCAAAAATTTCGAAAGTTTCGTCCTGTTTATTGAAAAATACCATTATATTTGTATCCCTGCATGATGGCCACACTGTCAGGGTTCGTGTGTTCGGGTTGTTCGGCTTTTCGTCCTGCGAGAACGACGGAACATCAACATCGTGTGTGTGCATAATCCAGAGGGTGTGACCAAATCGAACGACACCGAATTTTCATACTTTGCCCAGTCTTCGGAATGTGAAGGTCCTTGTTCGTGTGTTGTGTTGCCTTCTTTACTAAACTGCAAAAACAATAAATTAAGCTCAACCGAAAACTTCAATTAAGAAACCTAAACAAACATAAGGAGCAACGCAAACTGTTTAAATCGAGATGCGAATAATGAATCAGATGATTGTGACGACGAGGTCAAAGTTTATCAACTAAAGTGTGCTGCAAAAAGTAATTATTTCGAATATCCGTGAATGGGGATTTTTAAGTGCCAGAAGAAAAGAGCTTTGTTTGTTCTGAAAAAAATGTGTGTACCCGAAATAGGGAGTGTTTTTGTTGGCGTTCGTTACTAAAATTTGTGCCAAAGAGTTGGCGAATTTAATTTATGCCGTTATTCTGTGCAAGCGTGTGGGTATTATTGTTGCATTTGTAGTAGTACAAAATGCTGCAGTTCTGTGTGGGTGTGCGAAAGAGACAGTGGTGGTGGGTGGCGGGTGGTTGGTGGGTAAAAAGGTGGTAACACCAAGGGGCAGCCAGGCCAAAGGCGGAAGGCGGAAAGTGGGCGCAGCAGAGCGAACTTTTAATCAATAGATATACAAACGCACTAACAGCTACATCGAGGGAGAGCGACTGCGCGCATGAGCGTGAGAGCGCGAGCTTAACAGTTACCGTTACCGCTGCTCTCTCTCTCTCTCTATCTCTCTCCTTGTTGTTGCACTGGACGAAGCGAGAAGAGGAAGACAAGTGAACAAAATTTCTATTGCGCTGGGCAGCATCCATCCGTCAATATAATACAAAATCAAAGCCAAAAAAAGAAAAGAAAATAACGAAAATGAAAAACGCCCAAAACATACTTAATTAAATAAATCCCAGCGGCGCCGGCGGACGGCAAAGCAATTGCAATGCAATTTCCGGTCTGTCCGTAAAGATTCGTCAATTAAATAGTGCCTAGAAGTGGGTACAACCTACTTATTGAGCAATTAAGGCCATGCCCACGCATGCACACCCACATATGTATATACGTCTTTCTCTGTATGTGTGAGTGTGTGTGTGTGTGTATACATATACATATATGCAGAACCGTTATTCGGAGTGTGTGCGTGAGAAATTGGGGTTAAAATCGCTGATCACCGAAAGGAAAACGAAGAGGAAGCTGAGAATGCAAACTATTGCATATTTTTGAGGGCTCACGAGCACCCATTACAGGATAGTCAATCAGTTGCAGAGGTGTCTAGACTATTGCAATACCCTACCGCAATGCAATATTAAATATATTAAAAATTTGAGAAATAACTAAAGTTCTCCTGAAGGGTAAAATTGTTAAAAAATTTTGCCTCTTGTTTGTATAAATTTTACACAAAACAAGTCCTTTATTTCTGCCATATTTTTAGCTGACATAGTGCAATTAAATTAAAGAGAAGCTTACTCTTGGTGTTGATTAAAAGCCTCTTCTTCCCCTATTCTTGTACCCCTTAATCACAGTGCACTGCAATTTAGATTTGGTGTCAAGAGCTTAGGAAACTTAGGCCCGTGAGCACGTAGCAGGAAAACGCAGCAGCTGTGGCGACTAAGGGAAAATCCACCAGGAACAACAAAGGAATATAAAGTCAAGACACACACACACACACACCAGAGCACAGACAACGGACGAGGAAGAAACTAGGAGAGGATGGGCGACTATCACGAGTTTACGGACCAGTACAAGGTGCCGGTGATAGCGAAGCTACTCCATGCCCTGCCCCACTATAACATCACGTTCCATAAGATCAATAGCACGTTCCGGCCCAATGATGAGATCTATCTGGAGGTGAGTTATAGTAGATATATTTATTAATCTATAGTCATAGTCATAGTTATTAAAATTTTAGTCTTTCTCGTATCCTTAAATTGAAGTGGTATCCTTTTTCTGTTTTTTTTTTTCCTTACAAATTCTTAAAGCTAGTTATTATAGTTAATTTGTATTTATTAAAGCTTAGAGGCAAAATTTAAATATAATACACTAATTAAAATATAATTTAATTTATCGAAATATTATATTTAACTCCAAAAGAGGTTAGATTTAACCACAACATTTTGAATTTTACTGATACATTCTTTACATTCTGAGCTGATTTAGTTTATATAAATGTTCTTAAATATATATGTAGTTTTGTATTATTTAAATTAATATCAGGATCTTAGGATAATCCTTTCTACACTTAATTAATTTATTTTAAATAATACCTATTTACATTTTCCCCCACAGAGTTTGGGCATCTTGGGCTCTGTGCCGGCCGCCCTGCTCATTGTGTCGCTGCTGGGATTGCTCTTCTATTTAATGACCCGCTGCTGTGACCGGAAACCACGTCCTGCCCACTCGATCACCAGCTTGAAAGTGGCCCTCTCCATAGTCACGGTCATGTGCTGTGCGGCCATCGGATTGGGATTGTATGGCAATGATGATCTGCACAATGGACTGCTGGAGGTACTGACGGCGGGCAGGAAGGTGGATAATTTGGTGACCACCATAAGGAATCAAACGCACATCCTGGAGAATACCCTGACGAATCGTATACGACCGCAGCTGGTGGAGCTGGCGGATATCTTTGATCAACCGGTGTCCAATCAAACGGCGCTCTCCAAGCTCTTTGTTTCGCTCAATATTGTCCAGGGAAATGTTACTTTGGCCACAAATGCAGCCAGTGATATACGACGACCCCTAATGGGTATCTCCATGACGCACTTCCTGACGGTAAGAGGATTTCTGTCTTGCAAAAGTAATAATAATTATGTTAAAGTTCATCATATCCTTTTGCTTATGAATCATTCGGAAAACTTTAAACACTTTTGTTTTTACAGCGCGGTGACCAATGGGAGCTGATCCGCTGGCCCGGCACGGTGGCCACCTTGGCCCTACTCCTTGTCCTATGCGCTGTTCTCCTGGTGGGCGTGGCGCGGCACTCACGCTGCGCCCTAATCCTGTTCAGCGTCTGCGGTTTGCTGGCTGTGACTGGTTCCTGGTTGATGTCTGGCTTGTATCTTTCCTCCTCGGTGGCTGTCGGTGATCTGTGCATCTCGCCGGCGGACTTCCTGGTATCCACCGCTCCTCGGGACTTGCCCACCAATGTGCTGCTCCACTATACCCAATGCGAGCCGGGTCACACGAATCCTTTCACCCAGCGACTGAGGGAGTCGCAGAATTCGCTGAATAACGCCCGGAGCGCTATGGCGACCGTGATGAAGATATCCCTGGTGCTGTTCAAGTCATCCGGATTGCAGCCCAAATTGGGAGCTGTGAATGCGGATTTGAATAGCAGTGAGAGATTGCTGACCCAATTGACAGCCCTGGTGGACTGCAAGGCGGTTCATCATAACTTCCTGGCCGCTGCCCGAGGACTGTGCGAGGGTGGATTACTGGGACTGGTGCTGATGCTCATAGCCAGCTTCATAGCTGCCATACTGCTGACCATTATGGTTTGGGTGGATTCGCACACTTGGATCTACATACGGAAGAGGAATGACTATGCCCAGGTGGACGAACCATCGTATATATCACATCCGGCTCCACAGAATCACCAGCAGATGATGAATGCCGCCAGGACACTGCCACGCAATCATAATGGGTATGTTTTTGAAGATCCCACTGTGACCCGTCCCGCCCGATTCCCGCCTCCATTCTCTCGCTCTCTCTCTCTCTCTTCTCTCTCGTCCCCTTTGTTTCGTTTTCTCTGTGTTTTTCGCCTGCCGCCGGCATCTGATTTCCAGGCACTTCAGTCCACCGGTCATCAGTGGCTCCCACACGCTGCAGCATCCCAGCAAGCGGCAGCAGCACGAGATGATGGCCCACGCCCACATTCAGCAGAATATGCGCGCCATGGGCACCCACACGCTGGGCCGGCTGCCCTCGCATAACCACAGCCCCACCCACATGACCGGTAAGTCCTTGGGGTCGCAGTGTCCCCTCCACTGGGGCAGCGTCCACACCCAAAACATATCCAAGAACATGTCCACCTTTCTCTACTCTAAATGTGTGTGCACTGGGAGAAAATGTCTGCTAGATGAGGAAATTGTTTAAATAAGAAATGCTAGAAATTATAAATGAAAAAGTTAAGAAATTGCATCTTAATTTAAAATATTTACGAAAATAATACAACATAAAGTAGTAGTTTACGAAAAATTTAAATTCCACCATCTTGAAGATTTCTAATGCCGATGATCAGTTTGTCCCCTAGTTCATAATTAACAAAAAAGGAAAAGTTATAGTTTTTTTTTCTTCAAATTTTCCAATCGTCCCTGTGGCAGGTATATATATATATGTATATATAGTCTACCGATTCGCCATGATCCGACTTATATACCAGTAATATTATATAGAAGAAAAACTTCATAGTTTCCTTCAAATAGCTTAAATTTGTTCCAAAACAAATCTCACACATCTGTACTTATGATTCTCAACTTGTTCTAACATCCCCGGAACGAAGTGCCTTCTTCTGGCCTGGTCTCAGATATGTGTTGTGTTACAAAAGTTGCAAGTCATTGTTTATTAGTGTTCAAAGTTACTCACTGATCATACATACTTATTGGTCATAGATACTTACTGATCATACGTACTCACTGGTCATAGATATTTACTGATCATAGTTACTTACTCTTCAGAGATTCTTATTAATAATAGTTAATTACTGGTCATAGATACTTAATGCTCAGAGTTACTTACTGCTCATAGATACTTACTGAATATAGTTAATCACTGATTATAGTTTATAAATCGTCCGATTGTTCCTATGGCAGCTATATATATATGTATATATATAGTCCACCGATTCGCCATGATCCGACTTATATACCAGTAATATTATATAGAAGAATAACTTCATAGTTTCATTCAAATAGCTTACATTTGTTCCAAAACAAATCTCACACATCTGTACTTATGATTCCCAACTTGTTCTAACATCCCCGGAACGAAGTGCCTTCTTCTGGCCTGGTCTCAGATATGTGTTGTGTTACAAAAGTTGCAAGTCATTGTTTATTAGTGTTCAAAGTTAATCACTGATCATACTTACTTATTGGTCATAGATACTTACTGGTCATAGTTACTTACTGGTCATAGATATTTACTGATCATAGATACTTACTCTTCAGAGATTCTTATTAATCAAAGTTAATTACTGGTCATAGATTCTTACTGTTCAGAGTTACTTACTGCTCATAGATACTTACTGATCTTAGTTAATCACTGATCATAGTTCTATAAATCGTCCGATTGTTCCTATGGCAGCTATATAAATGTATATATATAGTCCACCGATTCGCCATGATCCGACCTATATACCAGTTATATTATATAGAAGAATAACTTCATAGTTTCATTTAAATAGCTTACATTTGTTCCAAAACAAATCTCACACATCTGTACTTATGATTCCCAACTTGTTCTAACATCCCCGGAACGAAGTGCCTTCTTCTGGCCTGGTCTCAGATATGTGTTGTGTTACAAAAGTTGCAAGTCATTGTTTATTAGTGTTCAAAGTTACTTACTAATCATACATACTTATTGGTCATAGATACTTACTGATCATAGTTACTCACTGATCTTAGGTACTTACTGATCATAGTTACTTACTCTTCAGAGATTCTTATTAATAATAGTTAATTACTGGTCATAGATACTTAATGCTCAGAGTTACTTACTGCTCATAGATACTTACTGATCTTAGTTAATCACTGATCATAGTTCTATAAATCGTCCGATTGTTCCTATGGCAGCTATATAAATGTATATATATAGTCCACCGATTCGCCATGATCCGACCTATATACCAGTTATATTATATAGAAGAATAACTTCATAGTTTCATTTAAATAGCTTAAATTTGTTCTAAAACAAATCTCGCACATCTGTGCTTATGATTCCCAACTTGTTCTAACATCCCCGGAACGAAGTGCCTTCTTCTGGCCTGGTCTCAGATATGTGTTGTGTTACAAAAGTTGCAAGTCATTGTTTATTAGTGTTCAAAGTTAATCACTGATCATACTTACTTATTGGTCATAGATACTTACTGGTCATAGTTACTTACTGGTCATAGATATTTACTGATCATAGATACTTACTCTTCAGAGATTCTTATTAATAATAGTTAATTACTGGTCATAGATACTCAATGTTCAGAGTTACTTACTGCTCATAGATACTTACTGAATATAGTTAATCACTGATCATAGTTCTATAAATCGTCCGATTGTTCCTATGGCAGCTATATATATGTATATATATATTCCACCGATTCGCCATGATCCGACCTATATACCAGTTATATTATATAGAAGAATAACTTCATAGTTTCATTTAAATAGCTTAAATTTGTTCTAAAACAAATCTCGCACATCTGTGCTTATGATTCCCAACTTGTTCTAACATCCCCGGAACGAAGGGACTTCTTCTGGCCTGGTCTCAGATATGTGTTGTGTTACAGAAGTTGCAAGTCATTGTTTATTAGTGTTCAAAGTTAATCACTGATCATACTTACTTATTGGTCATAGATACTTACTGGTCATAGTTACTTACTGGTCATAGATATTTACTGATCATAGATACTTACTCTTCAGAGATTCTTATTAATCAAAGTTAATTACTGGTCATAGATTCTTACTGTTCAGAGTTACTTACTGCTCATAGATACTTACTGATCTTAGTTAATCACTGATCATAGTTCTGAAAATCGTCCGATTGTTCCTATGGTAGCTATATATGTGTATATATATATTCCACCGATTCGCCATGATCCGACTTATATACCAGTAATATTATATAGAAGAATAACTTCATGGTTTCATTCAAAAAGCTTAAATTTGTTCCAAAACAAATCTCGCACATCTGTGCTTATGATTTCCAACTTGTTCTAGCATGCCCGGAACGAAGTGCCTTCTTCTGGCCTGGTCTCAGATATGTGTTGTGTTACAAAAGTTGCAAGTCATTGTTTATTAGTGTTCAAAGTTACTCACTGATCATACTTACTTATTGGTCATAGATACTTACTGTTCATAGTTGCTCACTGGTTATAGATACTTACTGATCATAGGTACTTACTGTTCAGAGTTAATTACTGATCATAGTTAATTAATGTTCTTTGATACTCACTGATCATAGTTACTTACTTCCTCTACATTAAAGAACCATTCCTGTGGCAGTTATACTATATAGTATTCCGATATTCTTAAAACTAAAAACGAAATTCTATAATAATAAAAAATAGCTTTGAATCAAATTAGATAAAAATAGGTTAAAAAATAGGTCTACAAATTTGTATAAGTGTGTATGGCATACATTTTCTTCCAGTGAACGTGTACATCTGTATATCAATCCTTGTATTCATATCGAATTGAGATCGAATTGAGCTTGAATCAAGTTAAAATGTCTTTTCCTAAGAGTATTATTGACAATACAATTTCAAAAATTAATAAATTAAATGTTTTGTAGATTAAACTTTAAAATAAAATATAAATATCATTAAGAATCTCTCTCAGCTGGAACATTTGGTATCCACATAAAATAATAAACATACTTACAGCTTTAGCTGCTTGGAAATCAATAAGTAAATATATAAATAAATAACTTTAGTTAATTTTTGAATAATATAATAATGCCAATTCGCTCAATTTGCTCCCCATCAATATACGTTTATATTATATAATCTCATTCCATGCAAATAATGCCTGCGCCCATCGTTCCATCGTTCCACCGTTGCGTCAACCTGCATTCTCCATTCGCACCTGCATTGTGCATCCTGCATCCTGCATCCTGCCTCCTCATCCAACTCCACATCCTTCGTCCGACCCGCCTATTTGCTAATTGTTACCTGTGTGTGTGCATTCTTGTAGGTCCCAATAATGGTAAATATGCAACCCTAAGCAAACAATGCAAGACATTGGAAGCCAATGATTTTTACTGAAAATCGTCGCCACCTTCCGCAGCAGGAGCAGCAGCCAATGTCGCCGCCAATCTACCACCGACGACGCAGGCCGCCCAACAGCAGCAGCAGCAGCAGCAACAACAGCAACAGCAGCAGCAACAGCAGCAGCAGGCACAGCAGCAGCAGCAACAGCAGATGGGAGGACCGCAGCCGATATATTGCCACCATCCGCACCAGCATCCGCATCCACATCCGCATCCCCACCAGCATCCGCATTCGCATTCAGCCGCCGCCGTGGCCGCTGCAGTGCAGCATCAGCATGCGATCTACCATCAGCAGCAGGCGCAGGCGCAACAGTATGGCACATACACAACGGCGGCCCACCATGCGCCGCATCACTTGGGATCGGGTCAGAGCCAGATCTACCAGCAGATACCGGCTCACCTGGCCCCACAATTGGCGGCCAATGGGAATCCGCATTCCATCTACCAACCCCTAGTTGCCGTCAGCCAGGGTTCCATTTATGTTTCGAACTTGGCCACGATGAGGAGACAGAATAGCCAGGGTGGTCCCCAGATACCGGCGCATCAGCATCCGCCGATTTTACAGCAGCAGCAGCAACAGCCACCGCCTCCGTCGCAGCAACAGCAGCAGTTGCATCAGTTAAAGTCACCGCAGCAACATCAACAGCAGCTTCAGCATCAGCAGCAGCAACAGCACCAGCACCAGCAACAGCAGCACCAGCAGCAGCAACATCATCAGCAGCAGCAACAGCAACCGGAATCGGATGTTATTCCCATTAGCACGGCAATGGATAGCGCCATTTATGATCGCGATAAGCAGATCTACAAATGCTCCACTCTCAGGCAGGGCGGCAAGTTTGATCCCAAGTACAAGCCATCGATACTGAATTGCCCCCTGCCCGAGATCCCCAAGGATGCGGAGCAGCCCAAGGTGGAGTCCATCTATCAGCAGCAACAGGCCCAGCACCAGAATTACTCCAAGTAGGTTTTGTTTTATACTTTTATTGATGTGAAGAGGGTTTACTTTTGTTCTTTACTTTTTGTGGGGTATGCATCTTATTATAATATTGTTTTTTAATTTTCTTAGTTACTTGTTTCTTAACTTTGTAACATTATCATTGGATCTTTCCCATTTAGAACGCTGCAGCGTCCACCAATGAAGCTGCCGCCGCAGATGAAGGCGATTCCACCGCCACGCATTGGTACGCCCACATCGCCACCGCCGCCCGCCAATCAGCCGCTGAACGATGCCATCGGAATAGTGCCGGCTGGCCTCCAGAATGGAGGAGGAGGAGGTGGAGCAGGAGGAGCAGGAGCAGGTGGTGCCAATGAGGATACTTCATTGCCGCCGCCACCTCTGGAGGCGCAGGCGGAGGCGGTCAAGGGCAGGATGGGACCGGGAGCGGCCAATGGCAAAATCCTGCATAATGGAGCCGGAGGAGGAGGAGGCGGTGGTGGTGGTGCTGGTGGTGGAGGAGTGACCAGCGGTGGAGGTGGTGGAGCGGTGGATGATGATGATGATCTGCCGCCACCGCCGCCAGCGATAACCGATGAGAGCAACTATGCGGTCACGGAGCTGTAAGATGGCATCAACGACAAGGGATAAAGGATATTCCGCAGGAATTGGTCGAGCCTGTAGGACCTGGACATTGGGATGGGATGGAGTCTTCCTAGAATTCTCGTGTATGATAGGCAATGGACATGGCAATGGCATTACTTGGGATGGGCGGCGAGTGTTCCTTCTTGATTTGTTTGCACTTTTTGCGTATCGTACCGTATCGTAATCGTATCCTAGAACCGGAATCCTGCTCTTCGACTTTTGTACATACTTTATACAAAAAACCTACATATATCTGGGCTCTCCAAGGATATAAGCTGATGTACTAAGCATATGAAGCACACAAAACACACAAAGGACAGACGGACGGGACTCATGTACCATATTATATATGTATCAGCGATCTATTACTTATAAAACATTATACATATATACTTATATCCATTTAGGACACGGTTATTCCTTTTTGATAATAGCATATTTGTACCACTTTTAAAGCTAAACCAACCAAAAAAAAGAAATTGTCTAAATGATACAATTTTTTTTTTATTTTAATTACCAAAAATATTACTTATATATATTATTATATACATATATACATAGGTATATAAATTGTGTATCCCCCTGCAAACCAACTGGAACTTGAACCTAAAAAACTAACCAACCACCAAAGCGGAATTTCGTGTTTAGGATGGATCTGTAGGCCATAAGTCCTAGAATGTAGTAGAAAAACGTTAGAGAAGAATTTTTAAGACACTTTTTCGGGAGTCAATTTTTTTTATATATATAGACAAACAACGGGCAACTGAATGGGCGTGCAGATGGGGCGTGGCATGGTCTTTGTTTAACAATTGTTTTAAATATTCACCTTGGAACCGAATACTGATAATTGTAGTTAAAAACATGTAGATATTGACAACTCATATACACACTCTTTTCTACACTCACTTTCTATATTTTCTCCTACTCAAAGTTATAGTCATTTAATGAATTATTTAATTTATGGTTTAAGTTCCTGACATCCTTGAAAGAGGAGCTTTCCTTGCTTAATTTTGTAAGAAAATTTAAAATAGAAAAGTCCTCGTGTATGCCAAATAAATCATTTCCCCATTAGTTAATGATTAATTGCAAACCAAATAATATATATTTTAATAAAGAACTGCTATCATTAAGTTCCTCATATACTCTACTTAAGGACATTGCCACAATCTTGCCCGGTTCCACGACCATTCAGATTGGATCCAACCCGTTTAGTGCTCGACTCTGTCCTGGGTCTGGGTTGTGCTGCGGACGATCTGAAATCCAAATATATATATATAGGGATCGTCCGGGACTGGTGGGATCAATCGATTGGCCGGTCTCCAAAGTTCTGCCATTCGATTTGAGCCTGCAATCTTATTGTTTATCTAAAAAACAAACCTAAGCTTAACATGGAATGCATTTATTTAAACATAAACATAACATAAACAAACAAGAATTAGAGTGCTAACTGTATATTTAGTAGCTAAACGAAAGCAAGGCATAGGCATATATAGCATAAACCGAAATAACCGATTATATATACCGACTTGGCATATGGAACCGAGAGCAATATGGAAACTAAGCAACACAAAAGTACTGCCCCCAAAAAAACAAAAAAACAAAACACAACCGACAAAAATGGGAACCGACAACTAACAAAAGTTATATATAGAGGTATACACGAAGCGATATACATATATACACATAGTTATATACAAGGTATTGAATTATAAAAGAAAAAATAGTTATATACAAGATACATACTATATATATATATAGAAATATATATAGCAGCAAAACAGCAAGGAAAACCAATTGAATGATTCAAAAAAACCATGCATTTTTAGAAAATTTCGAATGACAACGGAAATGTAAGCCAGAGGCCAATTTTGGACGAGAGGAAGAGATATAGATATAGATGATATAGAAGGCCAATCAACTAATTAAAACCCGAGCACTGCCCAACCGACAGCGAAAGTTCTCAACATTTACCGAAAAATTTAGCTATATAATGGAATCGAAAACCCGAAACTAGATAGTACCAAAGGCAAGATAACAATAAGATGGGTAACGCGACTAACTTGCCCAAAGTTTTGAGCGTTCAGACAGATCTTGAATGATTGAAATTACAAGTGAGTGCTCACAGTGTTACCTATCTTTTTTATTATTTTGTCCTCGATACCATCTCCCCCAATACGGCGCACATTGAAATGATCAATTGTAAGATATAAAATAAACAATCGAGTACTCAAATCGAAATAACTCAATAATCGTAGAGCGTAAAAGAGGCGGGACATTTTTAAAAAAGAAGTAAATATGTATAGATCGTGTAAAGAGACAAAAAACCGAACAAACTAATCAAGTTTTTTATTCGCTTATATTAATTAATTACAAGTTATACAAATAAAAAGAAGAAAGAAACAAAAAAAATATTAAAATCCTCCTCAAGGGGTTGAGAATCCTTTAAGGATTTAATAGCACATGAACAACACGCCCCCTTCCAAAAACTAAAAAAAAATCAGTATCAAAAAAAGGACAAAAAAAAATTGCATTGGAAAATCCAAAATCAACCCCCCGCCCCTTAGGAGATGAATTTTGGGTCATGGAAGATTCGAGCCTAGATCGAAACTCCTTTCTATACAAACAAATAATAAAAATACATAATTAATAATAAACACAATTAGTTCGTAAATATATTTCTGTGTTAAATGTTGTCATCGTACGCGTTGTAGTTATTACAAAAACAAAAACCACACAAAAAAGAAGATAACAAAACAAGAGTTAATACACAAAGAAATCCGAAAAATAAAAATAATTAAGATGATGGGATCGAAATTCGCAACATTTTTTTCGACAAAGCTCAACGGCTGCAGCAATAATGCAAGATAAGAATGAGTTGTACAACATATAAATATATATATATATATATTTAAATATATAGTATATATATATATATGCATACCGATATAGTTAAAGAAAATGTAAAGAAGTGAGGCAAAAAAAATAAATAAAATCGAAGCGCTTAGTGGCATATTGAAAACAAACAAGTAATGGTAGAAAAAATAACACGACAACAGAAATAAATTCTAAAACAAAACAAAAATAAAAAATAAAAACAAAATGTATGAACAGTTTAAAGAAAAATCTTGTAAGAAAAACGAAAAACACAGAAATGTACTAAATAAGTGAGTGTGCGCGTTCCAGAAATCCGAAAAACCACATTGGCCCAATTCAATTTGGCGGGAATTTCGATTCCGAAACTGAAGGGAAAACATTATATTTCTGGAATGCATAAATATTTTATGCGCAAAATATAAAAAACAAAAAAAAAAAAAAATGAAAAGGATTAATGAGAGAAGAGCAACAAAACGAATTGGGAAAGTTTCTTTCAAAAGCAAAAGGCGGCAAGGTAAAACGCTAAAGATCCCAACAAATATTAAATAAAAATAAAATAAAAGTATAAAATTTAAATGCATTTGTTAGATGGATAATATTTGTTTATTTTATTTTTTGTTCATTTTTTGTTTTAATGGGAGAAATTAAATAAGAAGTTTGCAAAGCTTCCAGGTAGGTTTCATCTTTAAGATAAACCTAAATGTGCTTTAAATTGATGTATTCTTATTTATAAATCAATTTTAATTTCTTTTCTAAGCCTCAGCACACACAATATAAACAAAATATAAAAGATTCAGTGGTGTTACATTTTAATTTATAGGTAAACAAGAAAGGAAACTTGCTTTGGGAAGCGCTGTTTATAAACCTTTGCAGTTTGTTTATGCGAGGCTAAAAAATTATAATTATTAAGCAGTAAAATACTTACCAACGTCAATGCTTTTTTTTAATTTTTAAACATAATAAATGTGAGAAAGAGCGGTACACATATAGAAAAATATCATGTTATCTCTGTCTAAATTACTTCTCATTTTATTTCATGTTTATGTTTTTTTTTTTTTGTTTTGTTTTATCAGATTTTGTGCAGATTTATGTTTTCTTATACAGCAGCAATTTGTAAAATAAATATATTTTTTTTTGTCATTTAATTATATACTTTTGTTATTTAATTTCTTACGTTTTGTTTTTCACTTAGCTTCTTTAAAAATAAGAATAGCGCAATTTATTGCTTTGCACAATTGAACATTGAACAATTGCCTATTTAATATATATGTATGTATATATACATATATTTATTTATATATATATCTTTCTCAAAGGTACTTGCATCTGATTAATAAATACAGAAACGAGAAAAAAAGGGGTTACAAAAATAAAATGTTAGCGAAAAAGGAAGGCTTAATATTTCTTTCAGGCTAAGGATACAACAATAAATGGGATTAAGGTATAAGATAACATAATATAATATATATATAAAGATCATAGGAATAGAAGTATATGCATAAATACATAAAAGCAATTAAATTGGGTTTTCTGTTACGATCATCATCATCATCTCCTTCTTTGGAATTAATTTGTATATTTTTTTTTATTTTTGCTTGCTCTTGGATATTTTTTGGATCTTCTCTCAACTATTCCATATCGTTGTCGCCGCAAAGAAGTCCACTTTAGCTGGCTGTGCCTTTTGATCTATTAAGTTTATCTGCTTTTCCTTTTGTTTGTCATCTAGGGTTTTAAGGGGTTTTTCTTATTCATTTGTTTTTCCTTTTGTTGCTAATTATTGTTAATTGCACTGTTGGGGGCGGCAACCAGTTCCGGAACGCTGGACGCACTACTCTGGCTCACGGTACGTGCGTGATCCACATGGTTTTGCGTGGCCGCCGACTGCTCAGGGGTTTCTTCACCAGAACCGGGCACAGTCACTGGCTCCACCGTGGGGAAGACAGGGGCTGTTTGCGTCGCTGTCCCAACGGGCGTCTGCACCATGGGCGTTGGTGGCGAACGATTCGCCGGCAATTGATGGGCAGTGGCTCCGGTCATCTGCATGTGGTACCTGAAAATCAAGCAGAATAAGAATGTAAGAAGAGATTACTTGCTACTGCCTTGCATTTCACTCACTTGTAAATGTTCTCTGTGCTCTCGACTACGCCCTGCGTCAGATTGAGGCTGCGTCCCTTAATGCCAGTCTCTTTGGCAGGCGGTGACCACCAGTTGAAGACACGTCCCACAACGGGCACGTGCCGAAGGATGCCCTCTTGCCAGAGCTTCTCTTCCGATTCGCGCTGCAAATCCGCTGTGACAGCTTCGATGCCCTGAAATTACTTCAAATATAAACAAGAGCCAAAAACAGAGCTTTGTTGGCCTACTGACCTTCTTGACAATCTCCGACATGGTATCCAGAACACGCGAATTCTCCTGCACACTCTTGCCCACCGTAACGACCAGATCAAGCAGCTCCTCCACCTCTGTTTCGTGGGTAACCATACCGAAACGCACACAAATCAAGCCATCGGTACCCTCGCCCAGGGAGAAGGCATTATCCGTGGATTTGAGGGCCTCCACCAGATCGATATTGAGCTTATTCAACTCCGTTTTGGCCTGGTCCGTGAGCAGAGCCTCCCAGCCCTCGGGCACGAATCGAACACCACCCATGCCGGCCCATTCGGGCAGGGAGACTAGACGCAGCACATCGCTGCGCTCAACCAAATGGATGAAGCGTGCCTTGTGCTTGATCGTTGCCCGCAAAATGTCCACATGTGCCTCTAGGCTCTGAGCAAAGCTCTCCAGATTTTCAGAGCTCGGTGGCTGCTCACCCAGACCCAATTCCAGGGGACAATAGCGGATGCAGCTGCCGTGTGTTGGGTGTTCAATCACCTCGAAGTCAAACTGGAAAAGTAATTAAAAATATATTTATAATTTCAATTTAAATGTTCATACATTTCCTCTATAATATGTTTTATTTTGCAATTTCTATACTTACATTTGGACAGTCGCGCTGAAGAATCTGGCCCAGCCAGGAGTTGAGGCGATCGAAGTAGGAAGCATTGTGGACCTTCTCCAGCGGCTTCAGACCGTCGGCTGTCTCCCGCTCAGCAGTGGCAACGGCGGCGGCGGCGGCAGAGCTACTGCCTCCTAATGGAATGGTGGTACTGCCATCAAATTGATAGGCGACAACAGGAGCGGCGGCATCGAACAAGGCCTGTACATCAAAGGGGCTCGGAATGATGTCCGATAATGAGGCTCCAGTCTGTGCCCCAGGTGTGTGACTCTAAAATAAATAAAAGGAAAATTTAGGAAATTAATACCGATATTGATTTAATTATAGAAATGAGTATAAAGAGTAGCACTCACCAGCACCCTGATGCCTTCACACTTGGAGGCAATCTCGAAGAGAATACTGCATGTCTGGAATGCCACGTGCAGACGCTCCGCAATGGCCTTTCTGCCCAATGCCTGGAGACTGGTCCACAGGCTCAGCGCGTTGAGGCGTCGGGACAGGATCGGATCGGATTCAAAGGCACTCAGCGCGCTATTCTGCAGCGGACGGTGCAGCAGGACGATGGGCAAGCTGGGCACGCCCAGCCAGCTGCCCAAATTGAGGGCCATCGAGTGAAGCACCTCCTCCACGTGACCCTGATTCTGGGCACAGACCAGCGCGGCCAGGCCATGGCCGCTGGCATGCAGCCACATGTTGTGCGCCTTGCAAACGTCTCGCAGACGGAGCAAATTATCCACGTAGCCGCAGAGCGAGGCTCCAATGTCGGCCACCACCAGCAGAGGCGTACGATTGTTGCTCACATCCAGCTGGATCTGCTTCTGTAGCAGCGTCACATCCATGGTGCCGTTCTGGCTGTGCTCGGGTATGATCTTGATGGCTTCCAGTGGAATTCCCAGCTGCCGGCAAGCATACTGCAGCCTCACCGGCGTCGTGTTCTCCGAAATGTAGAACGTGGGCAGGGCCAGGGCCGGAATGCCGCCCTCTAGATAGCCAGGGCAGCGAGCGACTATAGCCAGGCGCACTGTACGCAGAACGGCATCCGCATTGTCCGCATGGAAGCTGCTTGCCGGGTTCCCGAAGTGGAACAAGGTGCCCAGCCAGCGGGTGGCGTCGCCGGAAATACTGTTCGTGACCCGAAGCAACTGCTGGCGATCGAGGTGCGACAGATACGCCACGATGCTGTGCGAGATGAGCGCCAAGTGGGAGACGTCGTCCAAGGCGGGCAGCGGAAACTCCGGGTCATCGTCACTGTCCGTGTAGGAGACCAGTTGCTCCAGCGACTTGAGAATATCCGAGGGCACACGGTGCTCCGCCGGCAGCAGGTAGTCCTCCGGTCTAGCCTGCTGCTGCTGTTGCTGCTGCTCCTCTTCTTCCGGCGAGTCACGGGCCAATTCGGGTGTGGAAACCTTTACGTTCTCCAAGCGCTGCAGCACCTGCGAGGAGCGCAGCTCCAGTTCCGCCAGTCCCGAGCGTATCTAACATGGTTAGCAATCAATTAACATTACTATCATTAACCCAATGCAGAAAAAGTAAACAAAAAAGCGCTGAGAAGTTGACGTGTCTTCCGTCGTCGTCAGCAAAATGAAGGCAAAGAATATCCACGAAACGAAACTCACACTGGATGCGGCTATTTCGGATACCGCTGGCGTTGATGGGCCGGGATCCGGCACCATAACGGTGCTCTGTTCCACGGCCGAACTCTGGCCGGGATCGTCGTCCGATCTGCCAGCCGTTGACATGGTTCCAATGCGATCTAATTCCACAAATCGCTGGCGATGAAAAATAATTGTTTTCGTGCCCGCTACGTGTGTGTGAGCTTGTGTGTGTATGGGTGGGTCAGAGGAGAGGGTAAGGGTGTGTGTGTCTGTAAGAAAGGTGTGACCGTAGCATGGGTGGCAAAAATATCCTGCGATTGGTGTGTGCCGGTGCCGATAGAATTCCATGATCTAATCGATGAACTAGTTCCAGGGAAAAATTGTTTCCAGTAATTACTAACGATTTAGTACTTATAGAAATTTTTAAATTATTTTAGAATTTAACTGATAATTTTTATGTGTGTTTGTTTCCTCTGAGGAAAATGTAGTTTTGAAAACGTGGGTATTTAATGTGTTTTAATAATATATTGTTGTGTGCAGTAGGTATGCCTTTTTAGGTCTGACAACTTTAAAAAGCATACCTGTTTTTTACATAAAAAATTCCCCACTTTCATTCTTATTTTTCCTGCAAATTGTTGTATTCATTCTCTTATTTATATAGTAGCTCAGCGAACTAGTTCAGTTAAGCAACTTGCACATCACAAGCGCGATATCACCGATATATGTTGATACCATCTCTAATTCTCCAGTGCGCTTTCTCGTAAATTTTTCAAAAGTTAAATTGAAAGGTGTAATTCTTGGACGTTTGCCAGCTTGACAAAACAGGCTGCCTAATGCGAATTTGAAGTTGGCCAACATATGTTGTCATGTCTGCACTAAATAAAATGCAACTTTTCGCCGGATTATGCCCGAGTGAGTAAAACACGAAATTACTTTTTGTTATTTTGCTCCAGCAGCTGCATAAAAGCTTGATAGTTTGTGTGAATGCAAGTGTCCGTACACTGAGGGAAAAAGTAGCAAATTGAATATATTATTTGTATAGTGTTTATATAGTTAAACATATTTTTTATAATCATAGGGATTTGCCTGACTTCAAATCGTACCAATTTTAGGTGGAATTTAACAAAAACCCTATGCTTCTGAAAAAAAGCTCAATAACACAGTTATTTTTTCACTGCATGTGTTTGCTTGGAGCTTTCCTCTTTATTCATGCATTAAGTTGCCTGAGAAAGTTTCGCGTGGGAAAAAGTTGCCACGGGATTTGCTTTGGCTGCTGCTGGTCCCCCCGTTATCCCCCGTTAGCCCTCGTTGTCCCCGTTAGCTGCACTTTTCCCCACCTTCTTTTTTTGGACTCATGCAAATAACATATCGATGCTGCTTTTTCAAATAAACCATCACCCCTCTCCCCGCTGTCGATGTCGATGCCACGCCCCTTTTTGTGGTTTTCGCCTGTCGCCTGTTGTCCTGGAGGGGATTTAGTGGCATTGCCGGAACGTGTTGCTGCACATGCATCAATTTGGGTGCCACCACAGGACCCCGATTTCCCAGGCTCCAGCACACGCACAGTACACCCAGCATGCCCACGTATGTATTGCTATTTCTTATACTTTATTTATTTATCTATGTACTTTTTTATTTATATATTTTTTTTATTTTTGCGCCACAATGCCATCAATTACGGTGGCAATGTCAATATACGGATATTTACATACATATGTGCATATATTTATCCAAATGTGTTCTTTTTGTGAACGATATATACATATAGAAATTCATTTATTTAAGGTTTTATAAATTAAATTTTTTGTTGATTCTATTCAGTATTATTTAGATATTCTTGCTTAAGATTCTTGAATTTTATTCGACTTCATTCAAATAATTGGAATAAATAGGGATTTATATCGAGAGAGACTTGCTGAACTTTAAAAATTTAAGATGAGAAAACATATCTTAAACCGAATTTTCGAAAACCTATTTATATATATGTATTTCTAAAATGATTCTGTAAGCTAAGTTGAGCATAGTTTTTGATCGATATATAAGATTTTCTACCAACCTTGAGCCATACCCTTAAAATATACACTGTTATAATGGATTTTTGCTAATAAGCTTGAGTTTATCAGAGTTTAGTGTAGAAACTTTAGAACTTTGGAATTTTAAAAACACACAATGGTTCCCCTTTTCACTGAAATTCCCAACAGGGTCTAACATTAATGCATTAAAGCATTTCCCAGCCTGTTAAAATTTAGAGATTTCAAATCACATTTAAATTCTATTAATATTTCCTATTCCTATTTTATTTATTTGAATTTTCAAAAATAATTTAAATAATGATTTCTTTTCAATCTAAATGTCACATAAAGCCGAGGGTAACAAAGAAATCGGGGTGAGAGTGTAGAAATAATGTGCGAGCCTAATAAATCATAAGTTGTGCACAATGTTGCTCTGCATTTGATTTCTGTTGATTAAAAAGCCGCAAATTAAATTTTATACCATAAATCGTTGGGCCCTTTCCCCTTGCCCATTGCTTACCATAATTTATACAAATTTGTTTGCAATTTGGCCTGCAAGTAATTGCAAAATGCGGCGCTAGACATGAAAATTTCATAAATTTTCTTTGCCTTATTTATTTGTTTATATATTTTTTATTTTGTAAATTTCCTGAGCGGGTTGTTTTTTTCTCTCACTAATATTTGTCCACTATGGTTTAAAGAAGAATAATTGCTGTTATTTTTACACATTTTTATTCTAATTAATGTGTTTAAGATAATACCTGAAATAATTATAGTAATAGTAACAGTGCGTATACGTAATATTTTACTGAAACTCTTTGTATATTTATATAAAGTTGTAAATTCTGGTTGAATTTAAAGTGGCTTAATTAGGACTTTTCCTTAACCAATTTATTCATATTTATATTTATTTTATGTATGCCAAGCAAATTAGTTTTTTAACTCAAAATCTACCAAAATTACTTTTCGTAACTTTTAATTTATTTCCCCTTCACAACTCCTTATAAATAATATTTTGATTACTTTTTGAGTTCCCTGAAACATCAAACTTTCATCAACTGCATGCAACATTATTTATTTATTTTAATTTTAATGAATTTTATGTGCATCCTTGCTTTGATTACATAAATTGCGTATACGCAGTGTGTGCTCCTGGGCTATGGGTTAGAGGGGCCAAAGCAAAGTGGGTAGCCTCTCGCTCAGGTGTAACATGTGTGCCAAGGTGCATGCGAAAAAAAAAGGAAAAATAGAAAGAAAATGGGGAAAAAGCACAGACTCAAGGCCAAAACCCTTGACTAGAAAGAGATGCCACCACAGACAGTCAGACATGAATAGGCGCCGGAGGCGGGAATGTGGTGTTGCAGGGGTGGGTGTGGGCGTGTGAACCACTGAGAGGTGCAAAGTAGTTGCCACTTAAAAGGCACAAAGAAAAAGAAACAAAAAACACAAAAATGGAGAAGAAAACTTCAAACAAACAGCAGCCAAAAAGCTTTAAAGGGGTTTTCCACCTATCTTTATCTTCTGCGGGGAGGTACAATGGGGTTTGGGAAAACGATTAATTCTAAAAGGGAATGGTGTGGGGGAAATATGTAAATTTTACCTAATATTCAACATTAAATTTAGAATGAATTTAATGTAGAAGAAGCTAAAATAACAGGTTCATATACTTGTTCTTAAATTAAGTACAGTTTTTACTTTTATCTATACAAATTAAAAAATATATATTAGCAGTACTATTTTTAAAGAATTTGTAAAATAGTTATGCTGATATTACACTAGTTTCTTATTTAACCTATTTTATGAGTAACTTGAGTTTTACTTTAGGGTTTTATCTATGACTCTATTACACTTTCAATGACACCGCTTCTGCATTTTTAATTCTATAGCTGAGAAAATCAATAATCTTTTTAAAAAAAGTAAATTTTTGAGTGACATTTTTTCTACAGTGTCATAAATGCTGAAAAACGGACAGATCTGTCAGTAGGAAAAACACAATGGTTGCTCTTTGTACTCAACACTTTTATTTCATTCCCCACTGTCAACTTGTTTCGTTTCAATTTCGGAATATATTCACGTTATTTATTTAAAAAAAATACGCTCAATATTTAAATGCATTTGGGTCTGGTCCAGCTGGTTGGACATTTATTATTTACTTGCTGTCCATTATTAAAGATTTAAGTTAAAAGCTTAATGCCCGCTATTCATATTTAATTTTCATAATTTCTTTTTGTGGTCGCTTGTTATTTATTGTTTTTTTTGCTCTACATATTTTATTTTTGATTTTTTTTGGGGATGCATTTTTTTGTGCGCTTCGAAAATGCCTTTGCGCTAAATTGCCATCCCCTACTTACACCCCCGCTCACTGAGCTCTCTCTGTTGGTGTGTGTCTGCCTACATCATCATCATCATCAACATCACCAGCATCATCATCATCATCATCATCATCATCATCGTCGCGGCCCTTGGCAACCCTGACCTGAATTTAACTCTAAAATTTTTGTGCGCGGTCTGGTATTTAATTTGTTATATTTTTTCCCTTTTATTTCTGTGCGGAAAAATCACTAAACGAGTGTGTGTGCGTGCGTGAGTGTTAATTTAATATTTGTTTGTGCCACAAAAAGTGGAAAACGAAATGGAAACAAAAAAAACTGGACAAAAAAAGAGTTAATTTAAAATTTTCAAGTTAGTTTCACATGGTAAACGTTGGCTAAAGAGAAGGATATAAAAAATATATATAGAAAGTTACCACAGAAAGAAAAAGCAAAGTCAAAGATTTCCCAAAAAATATGGAAATATATTTTTAACAAGTATTTCTGTAAAAGAGTTCAAAAGAAACTTGTATATAAGTTTCTAATATATTCTATATTAATTTGCTTAGAAACATAAAATAGTTTTTATTTATATATATTTATATTATAATGATATATAATATATATAATATGTATAATTTAAAAAGGAAGGAAAAAACTAAGTAAATAGATTTCCTAAATAATATGAATATATCTTTTGATAAAGATTTTTGTAAAAGAGTTCTATGCAAATATTCCATCAATTCTAAGTTGATTCTCCTCAAGATCCTAAAAGAATTTTCATTCATTTAATATATGAAGATGTACTACTTAATTTTGAAGAATTTTCTTATTTTTATATGCTTGCAGGGTATTATAATTTCGATCAGAACAATAGGCAATTGGCGTAAGCTTAAGCTAGATTGTTTTGAGAGAGATTTGAGCAGGATTTTAGCAGGATTTTTTTTATAATAACCATAACAATAAAATAACAATAAAAAACCCCGTAATAATATTAATAATGGGTGGATAATTAAAAATAAACCTCATTTCAAGACTGTTAAGTATGTACTTTTCAAGTAAAATGTTGTGAAATTTCTTCTTGCAAAATCTCTCCCCTTGCAAGTAGCCCAAGTCCTTGGCAATTCTGCTGAAGAAGCTTGATAATAAGTGGCCAAGCGGTGTCATAAGCAGTTCATTAATTAGAGACTTTCAACTTCACAGACGCAAACAATGCGGTATTC